GCCCATTGAGAGCCGGTGATTGCCCAGTTCATAAGCCTTTCTTTTGTGCGTTTGACAAACAGGGGCCTAATGCTCCCCACCATGTCAGTATTTAGTTGCTAGAATGCAGTAATTCGCCAGTATGAAGCAAGTGGAAGTAAATTTATTTAGTGGCGGTTCACATCCGCCACGTCACAGCATTGTTAACGGACATATGTGGCTTTTATGGGGAGAACGCTTGCCAGACGAAAACCCAACACTTCCTGGGACACTGCCGCCGCACGATTTGCTGGAACGGGATAATCCCGAACCGCAGCTGGCACCACGAGTAGTTTGTTCGGCAAGCCAGCCTTTCAACACGGTAAACTCAAATCGAATCTCTTTCAAAGTAGGACTTGGGACACATGCTTCCCACGCCGGATCTGGTGATGCGGTTAGCGGCAATGTCGCAGCAGGCCTGTTGAACTGATCTCTGAAATGTTCTGTCCAACGGGCTAGTCGACGACACTGAGAATGGATCGACTGTCCATCTTTTTCAGCTATTGTCTCGTTAAGTGATGGCTTCCTCGGACCCCTGTTCCGGATGAGCCGAAATAGCACACGGATGTTCCCAATAGCAGTGGCTTTCACCATCTTACGCGCCCTTGCCACCCTGTCACGTTCCCGCTTGATACAAACAATCTTTGTTCGACATCGTTTCAAGGAGTTACGAACACGCTGGAACTCAGTGCCCATTGGAACCATTTTCTGTTCTTCGATCAAACTGGATCGATGCTCCGGAGATCCAATCACAGTTACGACGTCTCAAGTTTGGTGCTTAGCAGTCGCCAAAGGCTTTCTTCATGTCACATCTGAACTGATCCCAATCAGCTTTCGGCTCACCAGCATCATTCATTGGGTGGGCCGGTTCATTATGATATCGTTGAGCTGCGGCTTGCAACTTCCCGACTGCAGGGATGGGGTTCGAAAGTAAATGTACATTTCTGGTTGGATACACCAGCTGATATGGCGAGGAGTCGACCTCAATGGCGTTTGTGTTGTGAGTCTCTCTGCCCATCCCCTCCTCTTTAGCTTGTCCTTCCCACAACGATCTCAGCCCAACGCATAATGTGCTTTTAGCATTATGTTACTTTTTTAGCTTTTGTACGCTGTAATCTTTTTTTGTATTGCGGCACATTAGCCGATTTTTCTCACCTTCGGCTAACGTGCATTGGTGGTGGTGGTGGTGATGATGATGATGATGATGATGATGAGACTGCGGGTTCAAGTTACAGGAAAGAATTTTAGCAGATAGTCATTTCTTTGAAGTGGGTAGATTTGGCGCCATGTGTGCGCGCACTAGAGCATGGTCGGAATCCAGGCACGTGCTCCAAATTGACCGACAGTCTCAGACTAATGTGCGCCATCTGTAGCTGATGGCAATATGGTCAATTTGAGTTCAGATCATTGAAGAATTCGGTGGACGCCAGTTGACGCGGTGCTAGGAAGCAGTGCTGCTAGAGCAAATCTTGTGGTCAACGCACAGTTGCAGAGATCGATCACCATTGTCTGTTCAGCGTGCATTGATCTTCGAAACGGCTTTCCAGTTGTTGTTCAAAGTCTGAAAGGCGACTCACATGGGCATTTAGGTCACCAGCAATAATCACGATGTTAGTATTCTTTGTCATGCGAAGAAGAGAGGAGAGCTGTCGATAGAAATCGTCTTTGATACCCTCTGAACTGCATTCATTGAGGGCGTAAACTTTGGCGATTAAAAAGTATCTTGTCTTCAGACGCTGTTTATTTACCCCAGCATAGGTTCGAAGTCGAACTGCACATTTGTGGCTGTTCATATGCATCCATTCAAGTACATTTATTTCAGCATGTTTGCTGAGGGCGATACCAACACCGTAGTTATTTTGAGCCATTTACTCAATATCGCCTGACACACGAAGAGTGTAGTCATCGTCGTCAGATTCAGAACTAGGGAGTCGAAGATTCATCACGTTATTTTGTATGCGTGTTTCAGAGACACAGCACACATCAGTAGTAAGAGCGTGAATAATACGAGTTAGTGCTACCTGTTTATCGATCCGACCCACTACGCGGACGTTAAACGATACGATTTGAAATGAAACTCTGGATTAGCTAGAAGAGCTACATGTATCGATGGCAGCAGGTGCAGGGTCTGCGGCACTCTCTTGCTCAAAAGAGGAGGAAGCAGACGTTGGAAGGGGAGAGAAAAACAAAATTTAGGGAGCGTATTGTCGACGGGGTCGAGAGGGCAGATGATACTCCGGTTGCCCATTCCGAAAGTAGGGCTTTATTCGAGTTGCACTACTTTTAACCTCTGACTCAACAGTCTGACCCACAACGCAGTGGTGAGAAAGTCCACTTCGATAGTTTGGTTGCAGACTTCCATTGGGATCTGCTTGAGACCTGTCACACGCAGCCTTTGACAATTTAGGACTATTCACAAGTGTTTTCCAACCTTAGTAATGCTGGCGGTAGCAAACAATTGAGCACCGGAAGTTGCCCTCCCAACGTCAGAGACAATGCGTAGCGCTCGTGCTTCACGCCACTCGAGGTGTGAGCTTATGACCTGTAGACCTGTTGTCTCCCATGGCTGTTTTAAAGAAATAGGACCATCGACCTCTCCTTAACCTCCGAATAAGATTGGATTTTGAGGCTGAATTAGTCCGACCCCTAAACATTAGCCTGTGGCAGGAGTGGTTCTGGAGGCATTTGGAAAGTGCCACACAGCTTAGCTCCATGGGTCACGGAGGTACACAAACCATCCCACCACGTTAAACTCCACTCTCGCTGCGATGGATATATATTGTCAACTACTAATGAATAGACGTTAAGCCAAGCAAAACTATGTACCTTATGGCACGTTGTTGTATATGGTTGACTAGAAGCCGTGCTGTCCATGAGGTACTGGTTAATTGCTGGTGGTGGAGTATGACGTTTTTGTTGGGCCTCGTGTCGTCTACTAACCAGGACCAATTCACACGATTTGACTGTCGCCTCGATTTGATACATCTCAGTCAGGTTCAGTTTGGCAAACTGGCAAGCACATCTTCCTGGACTACAACCGAATCATAGCACCGCCTCCAAGCGTGCTTTAGGCTTGCGGAAGAGTCAGCGCGTGTGTGAACCGAATCATTGTGTCGCAAAAGTACTTCCCTCAGAGACGGGCGTTTTATTCAGTGAAAACGTCTACACTCTTAGTCCGCTTCGCTTGATCTATTGTTGGTCCGTTTTTATATATAACATTAGTTTAAATCGATTAGCTTCTTTTTGATTCATTCAAACAGGAATAGTAGCTCATTGTAATGCAGCAAACGCCAACCTAATAACGTACCCGCTTAAACGAGCAAATGCGCCGAGTATTTTAGCTTAGCTTCTGATTGGCTATCGGATTTGCCCCTTGATTTCAGTTGCTCACCCCGATTGGATGCTGTTAATCACACACTTGTGTCCTCAACCACGACGATAGAAACAACACACACAGAACATGATTAGCACGCAGACTGCGTTGACGACGAGAACCAGCAAATTCTGCAATGCTCCGAATACTACTCAGTTTCTCGGTTATCAACTAGATCAGAGCTGTCCACGGTCGCACCCCCACCACTTGGACTTTGTCGTCGCACTCGACCGTATGCCATAGCTTACGAACGCTATCTTTTACTTACTTACTGATCTGAAAACATCGCATACGTATCCAGTTTTCCTAATCGTTTTCTGTACGCAGTTTTGCTCTTGTGTTCAGTTTACTTTCAAACAAGTCCACCGAAAGTGACCCTTACTGTTTGGGCGAAACAATTCACTCGGCCCGGTCGTTACAATGGTCCTAACTGGTGCGAACAATAAGGTCGGCGTGAGCAGTGCGGACCACGCGAAACTTACACTCCGAACGAGACGAAACGCACTTGTCGCGAATGGGACGGAACGCACTAGTCGGTACTCATGCTGTCAACCGCTTGCCACCCAACTACCCAGCCCCAAGAGTGGATGAGAGAAGACCGACCTTCTGCAGAACAGTTTTGTGGCCTAGCGGAAAGGTGATTACATCGTCACACAGCCCCAACTTTATACGGAGACTGGCGACAGTCTGCAGAGGCGAGAAAAAGGGTCCCGACAAATCGTGAGTATATGACAAGAAAATTCACACGGAATGTGTGGACGTGTCGGAACAAGTGAAGTGTGGGCGTCATACGTGAGCTTGGGTGTGTCTGGATTGTGAATTCACAAAAGTACAACGTCTGGATCATAACTTGCGCGACCTTGTGTGAACAACTGCTTCTCAACCGTTGAAATTGCAGCTTTTTGCTACATTTCAAACGATCAACCCGTGACTCGAATCGGCTTAATCGCTGTCCTATGTACACTCTCTGACCGAGTACACTTCGAAAGTTCTGCTCGTTTCGGACAATCAATCCCAACTCCCGGCTTACAGAAGTACTTCAAACCCCCAACGTGCACTGTCACCCCATACTATCCCCTATCCATGTCCTGGCTGGGCGATTCGTTATTACCCCCAGTCGAGCGTCTCGGACATTCCGTGACAAGGAACCAACTCTCTAGCTACTTCAGGCTTTCCTTTTCCTATACCGGGCCACACTAAACCAGCAGTCTGCCACAACGCTACCAATCAAAATTGTGATGGTTCGCAAATTGCGTACGGTACCCAAGAAATAAATAGACCGTCTTCCTAGAACGGAACTATGTCTCACCTTTTGACATTACTGATATCGAATACTGACTGTTCAATCCATAGTTCTTGGTTCATAGTGGTCTCTGCCATCCTTTCTGCCCGTATCGCTGCCGTATTCGTCTTGTGGTAATAAAGGGTTTCGGACGCATTAGTGAATTGTCTCCTGCTTTACACTCCATCCATTCACATTCTCATGAGTCCCTCATCTTTTTTCCCATTTTTAGTCCTAACACTTGTATATGATTTTGCATTTCCAGTAAGCAATGCGTTTGAACGCTTCGTTTTTTCCTCAGCATGGTGACACGTTTTCTGTTTTCAGCCCGGAAGCACAGATTCATTGTGAGGATCCCCATGAACTAACCTCATCCGCTCCCCTCTCGGCAATGAACAGCGATCCAATAGCGTTTATCACACAAAACGAGTAAGCGCTTGCCAAACTATTTGTTTTCCCCTTGTACATGCCCTCGACGCTTCCTTTCTACGCCATAATCACTTTTGTTTAGTCGCAGTTGGTTTACTATCCGGAAAAGTAATTACGTTATATTGATTAACAGTGAAAATTCGAGGGACTTGATGGAAATTAATCTCATCAACGTGCGTAGTTGAGTCCAAGTATCACGCGACAGGAACTTTCCTAGTCCCTTTTGCTTAGTTGGAAAAGCTTTCGCGTGTTCTCAGCGGTAGTTGCCTTTCCCGATTACTGGCTTTTACTGTCTGTGAACGTTCCACTCAATCCTGGGACTTCCGGTCATCCACAGTTTTTCTGAGCTACAGGTATTTGAACACTGACGTTTGAACAGAGCCACGTGTCATACCGTAACCAAATCTACATGAGATTCAAATAGATTTCGCAAGCAAGCGGTACAAGCGTTCCCAGATACTTTTCGTTGCGCTTTTGAATCCATTTTGCCCTTACTCGATTCTTCCACCTTCGTCAGTTTCAGCGGACGTTACAATTCAGTTTGATGTTGCTGCTCCACTGATTACGAGTTTTGTTATGAAGCCGTCATCGTCGATATTTCGCTGTTTACCGCATGCGAAGATAGGGTAAAGTTGACACGAGTGATCCGAAATGTAGTCGGCCAGCTCCTTTGTCTTAATCTCGACGCTTGCGATATTCTTACTTTAAAGGTAAAAGCTTACCCATCCACAACGGTTTTACGGGCTGCGGTCACTGTGAGCACGCTCTGAGACAGTAAAAATATACCTTGTCTTTGATCATTGTCGTTCATTTGCAATGGAGCTCTGAATTTGATTACACACTTGCAGATGTTTGTTGGGATTTATTGTTTATGATTTCCTCCACCCATCTCATGAAATTGACTTTTACCTCGGTGAGCATCGCTAGCCGTGGCTTTTGCGGCACCGGAGTCACACGGTATGTTCATCGTCATTAAAGCAAGAGTCTAGTAAGCGGAGACATTATAACGTTGTCGTTTTCTTGTGGGCATTTCAAAGCTCAACATACATCAACTCTGACGGAGTCTGAAGTTTTGGTATATACCGCTTGATGACATTTTCAGCATACTGGTGGCTTTCTTGTTAGCTTGACTGATGAATTCAATAGTGATCTGCAGATTCAGAAGAGAATACTTGGAAAAGAACTGACAGATGCGAAAACAACCTCCGGCAACGGTGTTTTACAGGCGTACGGTGCTCTCTAGATTCACATTCCCCTAGTGTGTTAAATTAGGCCAGAAATTTGATTTATGGACAAATGAAAAGTGAATATTTGACTGTCAAACAGTAGCCAGTAGTACTCAGGATGGACAGGGTAATTATATGCTCGCACTAGCAAAAATATCACTTTAGCACTAATGGCATCACTCAGAGAATCTGCCACTTACAACTTGGGATCCAACAGAAGACCCTCTAGGCCTCTCTTCGGGCATATCGCGTTTTGTAATTTTCTATGGTCGATGATCACAATGGGTCACGTTCAGATGTAACGCCGTGGAGCGGATGCCAGACATTGCTTTGTGCTTTTAACATGTATTTTGCCGTTTTTCATCACTGTTACTGGCGTGCCGCATTGTTGTCTCGCACTGCCACCTTGCTAGTACGCGACCACAATGGCCCTACTAATTACAAGTATGAGCGGTAAATGAAGTGCCTTATGTAAAGCTTAGCTGGCATACCCAAGCTTTTGCGGCCACGACGCCTACACTTTATCAATAACGTATCACTACAAACAGTGAACTGTTTTGGAAAATAAAACGGCATCAGCAAGCCCTTTTTGTGTGACTTCCAATGTCTCGCATCGTAAAAACTTATCTGACAACTAATTTCGCATCATACACACTTTCTGCAGATGGACCGATTACTAAACGACAGCAAACGCGCCAGTAATGCCGGCTGCTAGTCATGTATGCAATGCCTAGGACCAAGCACTCCTTTCTATAAGGTGAAAACAACCGACAACACTCAGTATAGCCATCGTAAGCTTCATTTTCATTCCAGTCTGACATTATCCTAGCTCCGATAATCAAAGCAAAATCCTTCATGCTCATCATCATCAACAGCAGTACATCATCCATTTGAACTGATGTTTCGCTGCCATACAACATGAGGACCTATGAAATAAAGAATAGGAAGAGGGAGAGAAGGGGGACTTAACTGAAAACCTTCATGCCCTAAGCAAACATTCAGGGTCAAGGCGCCTACACCTTGTGTAGACAACATACCGTCACAAACAGCTGGCTATCGTGCAAAGATAAGTCGGCATCGGCGAGACAGCTTCCTTGCGGCTTTCACTGCCACGCGTCATAATCAGCCATTACCCCGCAGATAACAGCACAAAACACACTTTAAACAGGCGATGCGATTAGAAGACGGTAGCAGACGCGCCACTGGTGTCTACTGCGAGCTATGTCCTGTAAAGTCTCTGGCTAAGCACAAGCGAGTCACGTGGACTCCAGCTCGGAAGGCGAAGCGGACCAACGGCACCCAGTTTGGTCGTCAGTGACTTCATTTCCCACTGCTCAGTCAATTTCTGTCCACCTCGAGTCTTGAGCCACCCTACCCCTGGCAGACTAAACAAGGCCCTCCTAGGTAAACGGTGACCAAGCATACGTAGCACGTGCTCGAGCCAACGCAACTTATTCAGTGCTATCTGTTGTTCTAGGGAGCTAGCATGATTAGCACCACCTAGTACTCGCCTACGCATATCATTGTTGCAGACACGTTGGCGCCATCCGACACCAGCAATGCTTCGCAGACAACGATGACCAAAAACTTGAATGCGCTTTAGATCTTCAGACCGAAGGGGCCAAATCTCACTAGCATAGAGCAGAACGGCCCTCACTGTGGCCTTGTATACACGGCCTTTCAGACGGAGGGAAACTCCGTTCTGTCGCCAAAGAGGACGCAGGTTCAAGAAGGCAGCTCTGGCCTTTGCAATGCATGAGCTGACGTCAGTTTCTATGTGCCCATCATTGCTGATGCAGCTGCCAAGATAAGTGGAATGATCAACCACCTCGAGTTCCTCGTTAGCAAGAGTCAAGGGGTCATCAAGTGGCTGGTGGTCTTGCAGCAACATTTTGTAATTTGAAGTGCGAAGTGCATACCAAATAATGGGACCACTCTGGATAGGCTATTCAGCGTTGATTGTGCCCTCGCAATATGGTCGAAAAGCAAGACGATATCGTCCGCATAATCTAGATCAACTAACCTTTCACCAGGCAGCACTTCAACGCCTACATCGTGAGATTCCGCAAGGGAACACTCCATGATAGAATCCACAACGAAATTGAACAAAAATGGAGAAATCGGACAACCCTGACGAACGCCACTTGTGGTCGGAAAGCTATCCGATAGGACACCGTAGACCCTGACGCGGCCTGTAGTGTTCGAGTATAGAGCATGAAGGATGTTCACATATTTCGTGGGAACACCTTGCCACGCAAGTATTTTGAACCGAATCGATCGATCGACTGTATCGAACGCACTCTTGAAATTGAGGAACACAGCCATTGTCGGCCTGCGGTATGCGTGGCACTGCTCTAGCACCTGCCGCAAAGTGAATATATGGTTTATACATCCACGTCCTGGGCGGAAACCAGCCTACTCTTCCCTAATCCGAGATTCCCGTTCCGCAGTGAGGCGACGAAGGATAGTCGAGGCCAATAATTTTGTCACAACTGGCGTTCGGCTAATATCCCTGTGGTTATAACAGTCTGTGCGACTGCCCTTCTTGTATATTGCCACTATAATCGATTCGCTCCAATTAGCCGGGACACTTCCAGATACATTCGAATAAGGAGGTCAGTGTTTTGCAGAGGACCTCACCTCCATCCTTAAATAGTGCAGGTGGGAGGGGATCCGGATCAGTAGCACGGAAACGATTGGGGGCTGTGATCGCGTTTCGGACCTCTGCCTCTGACGGAGCCTTTAAGCTAACTGTCCCTAGCTCGTCCTGCATCACCTGAGTATGGAGAGGTCCGGGAGCAGGAGGCAAGCTGAACTGATCTTGAAAGTGTTCCGCCCAACGAACCATATGGCGTTCCTTATTTTGTATCATTGCACCCGTGCTGTCTCTGATTGTCTCATTGACTCCTGGTTTTCTGGGACCAGTGGTGCGGATAAGCTGGAAAAGCTTGCGGTAATTGCCTACTGCCCCTGCCTCCTCCATTTCTTGAGACCGACTGGTCCACCAGGCTTCCTTTTCAGCACGTAGGTTCGGCTTTAGTTCACGCCTGATAGCCCGTCTGGTCACATTGTGTTCAGAGCCAGCCGTGAGGTGTCTTCTAGATTCCAACAGGTTCACCGACCTCTCGGATATTCAGTGAGTGGTGCGGTGACGATGGATAGTGCCACAAGCAGATGCTCCTGCGTCGTACATGGCGGCGGAGATTTTATTCCACTGAAGCTCTGTGTCATTAAGACAAGCCAGCGGAAATTCGGTACGCAGTGCGTCTTGATAGGCTTGCCTGACCGAGGGCTGAGACAACGTCTCAGTTGCCAATCGTAGGGGTCGCTTTGTGCGCCTCCCGGTGAAGTTCATGGAGGGACGACAGCGTACCAAGGCATTATTAAAGTCGACACAGGTACTCCAGTACGAGCGGCAATCCAGTATGGAACCACGGCATCTGTAACTTATGGCTATGTGGTCAATTTGGCTTCATCGCTGTCCAGCTACAGGAGGACGCCAAGTTGCACTTCGGCGCCCACTGTGTCTAAAAGCAGTGCTACTAAGAAACAACTGATAATGCGCACACAGTTGCAGCATACGCTCGCTGTTATCAGTCCGTTCGGAGTTATCCCCATACTTACCACCCAGCTGAGCTTCTGAAGAGGTCAGACGCCCTAATTTTGTGCATTCATATCCCCTGCAAGTACTATAATATCTGAACTAGTAGCACTGCGTAGTAGGGCTATCAGTTCGTGATAGAATGTGCCCTTGACAGCATTAGAACTGCGGTC